ATTCACCTCTAAATGTCTTCCAAGAGCCTCAGCAAAATAAAAATAAAGATTCATTCAGTATAATGACCTCCTGTAGGTTGGTGAATTCTCTGGTTTGGCACCAGTCCTTACTAGAGACATTCAACCTGTAGTCAGTCATTGTCTGCTTTCCTGGAACTGTGTAAAGCCACTCAAGATTTAGTGAATTCTTTTGCCTCCACAAAGTATGTTACTCACAGAGGTAGAGGTACATGCTGCTTATAAAGCGATTTCCCACATTCTTCATATCAGCCTTTGCCAGCTCTTTGCAGAGCAAATACTTCTGCAGGCCATCCACAAAAGCTCCACTGCAGGAGCTACAAATTCTGTCTGTTACCTCCTCTGTCAGTCCGTCCATCCATTCATCCATGTGAAAGCACTGTCTAGGAATTAGTCCCCTATTAAGTCAGTGCTGAGATTCAATTCTGTCTGTCATTGCTGCTGAGACACCTTGTACTAATCACTAAATATGACTGGGGGTGGGAAAACCTTGCAGATACACAGTGGGCTGGGACTTTGGAGATAATTTCCTAGAGTCCTGGCATGCCTTAGTTCTCACCTGTATAATAGAGCTAACGCTTCCCCGAGGCACAGGAGGATAACTTCATTAATGATTCAGGTGCTCACATACTATGGTGGGAGATATAACAACCTTGTTTCCCGGTCAATAAAATGGGGAGAATGCTAATCTTTCTTTGCCACTTACATCCTTGTATGAAAGATACCAAATGCAAAGGCGCAGCCATTTTCAGCCCCCTCTTGTATCTGCCATTCTCAGTCACTGGAAGGGTTTGACCAGAACTGAATGAAGGTATCTCCTTGTTTACACAATTTTATCATCACTGAAGCCGAACCTACTTGGTCCTCTCCTCCACTATTGGCACTTCCTAGGAAGTAAGGTTGTAGCAGAAAGTGAGCTAGAAAGCAGAATTTCCATTAATGTGAGAGAGTTCCTTTTATCAACAGCATTTTAAAGCATGCAACTTCTGGGGTGGTTTTTTTCTTCCATTGTTGAGTGGACTACCGGTATAGTTCTTGTGTACATAGTAGTTTGACTTTATAGTGTCTCTTATGCATAGATCTGAGTGCCTTAAAGATACCTTTTGTCAAGTACTTGTACCCATCTGTGAAATGGTATAACAAAGGGAAAATGGATAGAGCAAATTGATAGGTTAGGGACCTGATTCTATTATTTATCAGGTTATATGCTTCCCCTACGCTGTTAAGAAGTCAGCAGCATAAGACAATTAGGTATTTTATTTTCAAACCACTGGAAAACATGAGTTGTAGAGACATGCTGTGTTCTTTAAATGTTGCTTGGCTTAGAACAAGTAGTATGCAAGGGGCAAGGTTGAGAGTGATTAGGAACACAGCCAAATCAATATTTCTATTAGACCTTTTTTCTGTCCCCATATGGATTTCACACTGGGAAAAGAGGGCAGCATGAGGAAGAGTCAAAACTTTTAACAAGTCCTTAAAATTATTTCCATTGTGAATTGTTTGTTAAATGTACGCCACTAGGATACACTTAAGCTATATACCTGCTCTCTGACTGCAGATGCCAATGCTTCCTGGCTTTTCCTGGCTAAAGCCTTGCCTCTCAACATCTGATATTGTGG